GGATCCCTTCCAACACCAGCACATGGGGACCCCTTCCAACACCAGCACATGAGATTCTACACATGCTCGCCGAGCCGGTGGATTTGTTTGTAAACATTTTGTCACCCTGCTTGGTAACATCATCAGTGCGCCTCCGGTGAAGCGTCGGCGTTCTGTCCCGCTTGTTGTTTATCTGCCTCGGTTTGCTGGGGTGGTTGGTCCCACTTCCAGTTCTGTTTCTCTGTGGTTTGCACACAGGGTCTAATTCAATGTGTTTGTTGATGGAGTTTCGGTTGGAATACTAGGCCTCCAGGAATTCCCTGGCGTGTCTCTGTTTGGCTTGTGTGTTTATCGATATGTTGTCCCAGTCAAATTCCTGTCCCTTGTTGTCCGTGTGTAGTGAGACAAGTGAGAATTGGTTGTGTCTCTTGATGGCTAGTTGGTGTTTGTGTATCCATATTGTCAACTTTCTTCTGGTTTGGCCTATGTAGTATTTCTCACAGTCCTTGCATGGTATTTTGTATATTACTCCAGTTTTGGGTGTGGGATCCTTTACATTCGTCAGTAGCTGCCGTAGGGTGGTTGTCGGTTTGTGGGCTACCCTGATACCTAGAGGTCGGAGTAGTCCTGTGGGCATCTCTGAAATGTCCTTGATGTACGGTAGGGTGATCAGTGAATCTGGCCGTGTTGTTTCTTCCTGTTGTCTGTCTCAGAGGTAACAGCGGATTGTGCTTTTCGGGTATCCATTTCTTTTCAAAACTCCGTATAGGTGCTCCTGTTCTGCTTTGCGTAGTTCTGGGTTGTTGCAATATGTTGGGGTTCATTTAAGTAGTGTCCTGATGCACATTTCTTACAGCAGAAAGCCCCACCTCAACGCTGCACACTCTGGAATTTGTGTTCACAAGTTGCAAGTGGAACTTGGAACGCACGGTCTACAGAATCCAATAAAGATGAAAGTCACAGTGAAACAGTCCATCAGGCCCTCAAATACTGCCTCACTCACCTCCCCCACCCTACCTCCAGCCAGATACAGCCAGTTGCAGTAGTCTTAGACTAACAACCTTGAAGTTGTGGATTCAAACCTTAATCAAGGATTGTTGCGAAATTATATTCAATAATTCTGATTATCAGTGAGGTAACATCAAGAATAACTATTTCAGCTGTCACAATTCAACAAAAATCAGTCCCATCACTGGATAAGGTATTTAATTAAAGGCCGTTCTCTCTCATATAAGGGTGCAAAAGATTGCATGACGTGAACCTTTCCCGTTGGTATTCTAGTTAGTACCTATCCCATCCCACATAACAAAAAACCTATCTAGTCCCAACATTATGCCATAATGCATTTTGTGGGAGCTTACTGTGTTCAAATTGGCTGCTGCATTTCCTACACTAAAACCGTGATACACTTCAAAACTACTTAATTAGCAGAAGAGTGCTTTTAACTGTTTGGTGGTGGTAAGAGGCACTTTATAAGCACACATTTCTGTCTAATTGGTTCACCTACAGCCTTCAGCAAAGCAAATGTGCTATTTTCATCCTGAGTAAACCTCTGAGCTTCACCCTGTGACTGATCCTGAGTGTGCCTGGGCAGACTGGGCAGTGTTGCTTTGTCAAACTGTCTTGATCCCAAAAACAAATAAATCTCAGTAACTCCTCACATGTCCCATGGAGAGTGCATGAATGTTGGATTTGTACTTTGAACAGCAGCAATGAAGATTAAGACACTGTCGTGTACAATAACACCATGGCAGAAATTATAATTTTGGTGGGATTGGAGCGGTAGAGAGCACACAGCGTGTCTGTCACATTCTCCACCTGGTCATCTTTCCATTGATCCACTATCGGGAGTAGCTATTTGACAACAAGAGGCATCACACCCACAGCTATTTCTGTCCTTGTGCATCAAGAACAGGTTGCTAAAAAATGTGCACGTTATCTAACACTCTCCTGCCCGACCTAAAGCTAAATGCAACATCCTAACTCGTCCTTGATTTGATCCCATCACTGAGGCCAGAGTAACTTGATTAAGTCAATAATTATATACAAACAGAAACAGCAGGAACTGTGCAGGAGATCAGAATGTTACTTGAAATTACAATTATGTTACTCTGTGTGTATATTGATTGTTGGTAAAGGCACAGGGTGAAATCTCCCACCAGAGCAAACAGTCTTTTTCCTATCCTTCAAATCCCACCATCATTTTGAAGGTCTTGTTTAGATCACTCCTAAATACAACAATATTTGTGCGACTTGTTCTGAAGTCATTCTGGTACTTAACTTATTATTTTGTGAATGTAAATCCCAAAAGCTAAACGATGGGCTCCACATTTGCTGAGTTGAAGTTGGTTGGTTTGCCGTAGATTCTGTAAAGGGAACACACCTTGATAATGTGGCTTTATTGTTCTGATGAATTAGCAATACATCAGCACAAACTTTCAGCACCAGATCTCCCTTTCTGAAGTTCATTGCACAGCAGTTTAAAAGGCATCTGGATGGGTATATGAATAGGAAGGGTTTAGAGGGATATGGGCCCAATGCTGGCAAATGGGACTAGATTAATTGAGGATATCTGGCATGGATCAGTTGGACTGAAGGGTCTGTTTCTGTGCTGTATATCTCTATGACTCTAAGTGAACACATATTTCCAGATGGGGCTCTAAACAAGGCTCTTCAAAACTGAAACATCACTTCCTCCCATTCTCCTCCAATACAACAGTTACCACTTCAATAATACAACAACTACATGATCGTTGCCCAACATTCGCTTTATCCATGCTCTCTGCCTCCTACATCCCAGTTGAGCACCCATGATGTGATTCCTACAGATTGAATTTCTCCTTCCATGACATTGTATTCAAACGTTCCAGCAGGTGGTGCTGAGAAGCAGAAATCCAAACTCATTCCCTCCTGCCCAAGCATTGGCAATGACACCAGACAAATCACACACACATTCCCTTCTGCAACTGTGTTATAGTTGTGATTTCAAATAAACCTGTTGGAACTTTAACTTGGTGTTGTGTGACTTCTGAGTTTGTCCACCCCAGTCCAACACCAACACCTCCACATCATGGCGACCGTGTTTAAGCTCAGCTAACCCTGCATAGAACAGAGAGGGAGGCTAGTCCCTTCTGCTGGTCAGTACATTCAGCCACTGAGGCGAAGAAAGGGAGGAATTTTAATTAGCTTTTACTGGACAATCCTCCCTCTTCCTTCACTCCACACCATGGTGTAGCTTTTTCATTATATTCTGCTATTACTATGCACAGTATAAATAGTGCACTGGTACTGTTTACCTTTCTGTTAGATCTAGACGCAGTTGGTGCCCATGAGGCAAGGTAATAAGCTCCAGACCTGAGCTCACTCCCATCTGCTGCTTCACTTCTTCAGAAATGTTAAGTATCCTAGCAACCTGGAAAGTCCAAAGTTCAAATTTATTAGTTGTAGACAGGAAATTGCCATTTTATTAAAAGGTTTATTTTTCAATTACTACTTATATCACTACTAAAATAAAGCCAAGCGTGACCATTTCCAAAGTCAATACCCTCGTTTCTAAATTCACTGGCCTGGCACAGAATTCGAGAGCAATGAGGAGATTTCAAAAAAACAATGTAATCCAGGCACTCTATTCCTGAAGTATTGGGAAGTGGGAAAGACAACAAACAGTTCAAATATGAAAAATACACAGGAACATGGGAGAGCTGACTATGTAAAGTTTTCCTTAAGCAACGGGATTACAGTTATTCTTTGCAACTTCTCAGTGCAAAAGGTTCAAACATTCATGCCTGAATAATTTACACAAATTCACCGTAACGTATTCATAAACAAAAATCAAAACTTGCTAATAGTTTGAATCAGAATAACATGTCAAAGATAAACGGTCAGGAGTTACAGCGCTAGAATCACAAAGTAAAGACAAGACCCTTTGTACCATCAGGTCTGCACTGACAAAAAACTGCTCAATCTGCACTAATTCCACTTCCCAGCACTAGGCCACTGCCTTGAATATAATGACACGTCAAATGCTCATCCTTTTTAAAGGTTGTGAGGTTTGCCACTGCTGGACAATTAATCCAGAGGTCTGTGCTATCAATCTAGCGATATGAGTTCAAATCTCAAAATAGAGGAGCTCAAATTCTATATGGGACGGCACAGTGGTTAGCACTGCTGCCTCACAGTGCCAGGGATCTGGGTTCGATTCCACCCTCGGGCAACTGTCTGTGTGGAGTTAGCACATTCTCCCCGTGTCTGCGTGGGTTTCCTCCGGGTGCTCTGATTTCCTCCCACAGTCCAAAGGTGTGCAGGTTAGGTGGATTGGCCATGATAAATTACCTGTAGTGTTCAGGGATGTGTAGATTAGGTGGGTTATAGGGGGATGGGTCTGGGCGGGATGCTGAAGGGTCGGTGTGGACTTGTTGGGCCAAACGGCCTGTTTCCACACTGTAGGGATTCTAAAAAAAAATCTACTCTCCCAGGCAGTGCATTCCCACCACCTTCAAAGTGAAAACAAATTTCCTCAAATCCCCCTAAACCTCCTGCTTTTCACCTTAAAATTACGGCCCCTTGTTATAACAGCAGCTTCCTGTCCACCCTGTCCGTACCCCCACAATCTCATACACCTCAATCTGGTCCCCTCTCGGCCTGCTCTACTCTAAGTAACCCGTGCTTAGCTAGCCTCTCCTCAGAGCAAAACCGCCCCATCCCAGGGCAACATGCTGGTGAATCTCCTCTACACCCCGTCCAATGCAACCATATCCTTCCTATAGTGTAGGGACCAGAACTTGACACAGTACTCTACAGCTTCAAAATGCTTTTATAATTATGCCACAACTGACAAAGGCAAGGGTCCCAAATGCCTTCTTAACCACCCTATTAACCTGTCCTGCTGCCTTCAAGGATCTGTGGTCAAACACCCCGAGATCTCTCCGAACTCTGATCTTCCTAGTGCCCTGCCTTGTCTTGTTACTTCTTCCAAAGTGCATAACCTTACAATTTCCAGATTTAATTCCATCTGCCACTTATCTGCCTATCGAACTGTATCCTCCTGTAACCTAAGAACTTCTTCCTCAACAACCTAACCAATGCTTGTGTCCACAAACTTACTTATCATCACCCCCACATTTTCTTCTATATCATCTGTCTGTATCAGAAACAATAAGGGACCCAGTACTCATACCACCGAGGCCACTATACACTGGCATCTAGTCACACAAACAATCTTCTCCCACCACCCTGGCTCCCGTCACTGAGCCAATTTTGGATCCAATTTGCCAAGATCCCCCTGAATCCCCTGTGCTTTAACTTCCGTTATCAGTACCAGCTCACAAACACTGGTGCCTGTTACAGTAAACCAGGCCATATGACATACCGGTCTTTTTTTCATTCATTAGCAGGATGAGGGCATCGCTGACCAGGCAGCATTTATCGCCCATCCCTAACTGCAGTTCAGAGTCAACCACATTGCTGTGGGTCTGGAGTCACATGTAGGATGGCAGTTTCTTTCCGTAAAGGACATAAGTGAACCAGCTGGGTTTTTCCAACAATTGACAAAGGATTCATGGTTATGTTCAGTGATCTTTCTGCTTTAGTAGCTGCACATAGCTAAATTTCAGTCAACACATTAGTGTGTTCTGCTCGGAGAGTTAGTGAAATGCCATCACCTCAATTAGACAGTGATCTTAGCATGGATTTTTCACAGCTGATGGATTCCTTCTGAAGTGCACTCATTGTCCCTTGTAGACGAACACTAGCATCCATTTCACACACAACAAACTCCCACAATCTAATGTGATCACTGAAGTTGTCGGGAATTATGACTGAAAAATGTACATTCACCCAAATTCAGAAGCACCCTCTGCCATTCATCAAACAGAACCCTTGTGACCTCTAACACCCACTTAAACAGAAAGGTGGGATCTTAAGATCCTTCTGTTAACATAACTTTCTCCCAATGCTACAGTGAGATGTTAACATACATTGCACATTCGTGGGCTGTGTTTGGGAATCTAGAACGTTCTGACTTAAAAACACAAATTCTACCATAAAACCAGCTGACACTTGTAGCAAGACAACAAGGTGCAGGGCTGGATGAACACAGCAGGCCAAGCAGCATCGTAGGAGCAGAGAGGCTGACGTTTCGGGCCTAGACCCTTCACTTGTAGCATATAGGTATAAAATGATAAATAGCCCTTTACTTTGTAACTCAGCTCTAAATTTGTGTCCTTGATTGATGACATCATATAAATGATTGTTGGAAGCTCCAAGTTAATAAATGTTAAATTTCAACACTTTCTCAAAGGAACTACAAGCTCTGCAGATTATCTAGTACTGATTATGTACTGATTATCTTTGTGCACAGTTTAGCTAATGCAGTTCCTGATGTTGCGATGTGGCTTGGTAGACCATTGGCTATGAAATCCTTTGGGATGTCCATAGGTTCTGAAAGACACTTTGTAAATGCAAGGCTTTCTTTAACATAGTTTCAATCTGTATAGGGATGTAATCTGTAAGAGCTGATGTCTGTGCAGGACCATCTGGCATTGTACAGGAACAGTTGAAAGACTAATCAGCTGTAAATTGAATGAACTCTTTGAAATAGTCTGCAATAGTCTTCTACAAAATAGCAAGAGACTGTGCTGCATCAGTTCCACATTGTGTGCTTCCATTCACTGCTGTTAAATTCCTGCAATACCAGTGGTTGAGGTCTCTATGACAAAGGCTACAACTATTTCAGTTCAAATTTGCCATAATCTAATACAATGCCAGAACAAACTCCAGGGGCTGAATGGCCTACTCTTTTTTTATTCCTAGTTAGATTACAGTTTGTTGACGATAGTGAGCGGTTAGAAACAAACAGTTCAGAATGTTTCCTATAATTTGAGGCTGGAATTTGAAGCAAGATCCCGTGCACAATGACCGAGTGCATTCATTACTGATTTCATTTTAGTGGAAGCATTAATCTGTGGAATTTAACTGGGTTCGCACCTTTATTAAAATAGCACCAAGCATTTGTGTAATTATTACCACCAGTATTTGCCAAGGTTTGCTTCTAAAGCTGTATTTCAAAGCACGTGGCATTAATAAGCACTAGTCAACCAGAGAGATTAGGGAATGTTCTGACTTTGTGCATTAGTCTAAAATGAAAAACAGTGTATTGACACTGCTCAATCTTCAATGGCAATAAAAACTGGGAGAGATGCAAGTTACTGTCTTGCAATCACTATATTGTACAACACGTCAAAATTACATCTATTGAATCCAAATACTAAAGTGCCACAGGATATTCACCTTTGTTTTGGGTGCAACAGAGAGTTAGGCACTGCTGAAGCATAGGAGAAGAAAAATGTCTATCAGCACTTATACTTACACTCTGATTTGTGTCTAAAATTAAACTTGTATCAAGATGGGTAAAATTTGATCCAGTTGGTAGAATTTGCTTTTTACATAAAGCAGTCAGGAATTTCCAAATTTACCTTCAGGAAAAAGAGGTGGAGAATTTTCAGGGATTTTCTGTGCTTGATCCTCAGAGTTTTCCAGCCAATGGCTATCTGCTTGGTTACTTTTCTCGGGCTGCCATATTTTCACAGCGCATATAAACGAGGCAAATATATCGCCAGTGTATTTCCTTGCAGCCTTTTGGCTAGGGGCATCTGTTTAGCCCTAGTGGACACAGAAAAGGCTGTTCAAGCTGAAATAGCCCCAGGGCCTGACTCAGCTACAGGCCAGCTCCACTACAGGTGGGCAACTTTGCAAAGTAAAGCACATAATCCGTACGACTGAAATATTAGCTGTGATCAGGGATGTCCGTCACTGCAAGCCAGTAGATCAGTGGCTTCCGTTTAGGGTTGCCCTTGAACTACGCAGAAGATTAAAGCCAATGATTTTCTATGATGAGTCTTTTACAGTGTGTTTCATCATGACCCTGGAGCATGGCACTGTGACCACACCAGTGGGTACCTTTTGGTTATTGATTTGTGCCAATGTAAGGCATGGTAAGGGGCTGCTGTGGTCATCCCTCTGCCTCTGGTGGTCATTAGTACTGCTGTTCCAAGGTGGGGCCACACAAAAGTCAGCAGACAGTCCCCTTAGCGCTGGACTCCTATTTCTGCTCCCAGCTGGAAATGCTGGAAGATCCCAGCTGTGTCCATTCTACTGAATTTTCTTCTCCAAATATCCCACCATCACCCCTGGATAATGGATTGCTTTTTCCTGATTAGGAAAGTACAGCTGCGAATCCTGCATTTGTTAGCCACCTGAAAGGACACATTCTTTTGATTCGAACAATACTCCTGAAGGACATCTAGCATCACCAAGCAGCCTTTGCACCAGTCCTTGATTGAATCTTCAGTTTTGGGCAGTTTGAAAAATAGATCATTACAAAAAGGCAAAGAGCTGGAAGCATTTAAATCAAACTGATTCTACCTCATGGACAAAATAAAATCTGAAAGAACTGTAAATCAGGTACAAGAACAGAAGTTGCTGGAAAAGCTCAGCAGGTCTGGCAGCATCTGTGAAGAAAAAATTCAGAGTTAATGTTTCAGCTCTGGTGGCGGTTCTGAGGAAGGGTTACCGGACCGGAAATATTAACTCTGATTTTTTCTTCACAGATGCTGCCAGACCTGCTGAGCTTTTCCAGCAACTTCTGTTTTTGTTTTCTACTTCATGGACAGTTTGCCATTGTTCATATATTACAGTTATGTTTGAGAATCAAATCATTTACTGCAGAGGCACCAGCCGTTCAACAGTTTCATTTCAGTTTATTGCCAACAAAGGAAAAGCATCACCTTTTTTCAGAATAGGGCTGGAGTGGGAGCCTTGATCGGACAACTATCAGTAGATGGAGCCCTTCTGTCCTGAGTTTACCTCCCCTGCCAGTACTTGTTTTCAGTTATGAAAATGTTGTTAATTACAAACATCGCGTTTTAATTATCTATTTCTCCAAACTCAGCATTTCAGTGGGAGGAATCACTAGGAGCTGGATACTGTTAGGTTCCCAGCATGTCGAGAATGCCAGTATCTATGCCGACTGATTCTCTTTATCACTGCAAACTTTCTGGGAATCTTCATGCATGGAAACTAATCAGGGAGCTATTTGTGACACAAAAATTACTATAAATATCACTGTTTCAAAGATGAATCTATATCTACTCCCTTCTATAGACAAGTGGCAAGTGTTCTAGCTGTGGGGCAGACTACTGTTACATTTTGTTACCTCCATTAGCAGGAGCCATGCGAGATTCAACTCTTCCCTATTCGGAAAACAGCAATCCATTATCCACAGGATAATGTCAGGATATTTGGAGGAGAAATTTCCCACATGCTGATTTGTGCTGCTGTTCTAAAAGATCTGCACTGGTTGTTTGGGAGGGGAATGATTTATATGGGGGTTTCCAGCATACCCACTGGAGTATGGATCGGTGAAAATCACCGATAAAGTGCTGGAGTATAGGGCTGTAGCATTTAAAAAGGGGGCACAGCCTGCACATCTCAGAGGTGGGAACGTGCAGGTCAGAAACAAGGTGCATTTGGCCCACTCACTTAACTCTCATGTAGCTTCCCTACATGTTTTATCAATCCGTTCAAGAAACTTTGAAGGATCCGCTGGGGCAAACAGCAAAAATAAGACAGCAGCGCATGGCAGCATACAGAGGAAACAGAATGTTCCTGTTTCTGAATCTCCAAGTGAATGAATAACTCCAGAGTGTCTGTGCCAGGCAACAGCTGTGCCAACTGGACAGAGCCAGCACTGGGACTGAATACTAAATCTCTCCCACCACTCCATCCCAGGACTGATGAACAGTGTTGCTTCTGACCATTTTTCCTGTCTTAGAAAATGTCCTGTGCTGATTATGCACTGCAAATTCAGCATGGAAATCATGCCATTAATAAGTTAAAGTGTTTTCTGAAACATACCACCAGTAAACACTATTGGTTTTCCTAATATCATGCATTAAAGTCAGTTAGATATCAGGGAACAATGCACTGGCCTATCAGTTTATTTATTAACATTTCCCACCAGCCATTTCACACTCTGAAGGATTCACACAGCAGATGCCAGTACCGTTTGATACATGTCCAACATTCTGCTCATCCAACTTAGGCTGAGTTTATGTGATGTGGTTACCCCTCCCAGGAAACATATTCTCATTTAATTCTAAGAATACAAAGGGAGTTTATACACTTTTATGTTCTTATGTCTTGCAAAAAAGATCTAACCAAAGGTGCTACGTTTGGGCTTTGTAGTGATTCCAACTGTTGTAAAAAAATATTAGAAGCATCAGACTGAAAATGTGAGATACATTCTGGCATAACATTTCAGTAAGTGACCTCAAAATGATCAGCACACTCACCATTCCTCCACCTGCTATCACTGTGTCCCTAACTCCCATATTGTTACAACCCACAACCAATAGGGGCTAATCATCTTAAAATGCTATCAGCAAACTACTCTTCAGATAGCTGGCTTCACCTGATCAGTCTCCATTAAAATACTATACAAATGACATCTTCATGAAAGCATTCAGCTGACCCTTTATTTAGCCTTCCTGACTTGCACAATGTTACTCTGAACATGCAACTAGCAAAGTCAGATATAATTATGCAATTTCACAAATCTATGTTGTGAGCTGTAACACAAATTCTTACCTGGCAATCCACTTTCAGGATGTGCTTGGCAATAGTTGAAGGGTCATTATTGGCAAACAGTTCTTTAACATGTCTGATCACCCATGTTTCCAGGGGCTTGTTGTCAGGGTGAAGCATTTTAGATTTGAAGTCATTCGGTTTAAAGCAGGAAATGTTCTCAAAGGAGGGTGCAATGAAGACTGGGTCACTGGTCTTTTCCTCATCTCCAACAGAAGAGACTATGAACTGAAATGGGCTCTGCTCTGAAATGCTGAGGACAGAGTTGGCTCTTTGGAAGGAGATCTTTGGCGCTTCCTCAGTTTTTAGTCTTTCTACAAAGCTGTCAGGCTGGAAGAAGTACTGGTCTGTCCCTGCCTGCTCCACAGAGGCATCATGTTTCAGGTCAGTGTAATGACTGCCCCTTTCTGGGCTGCCAGCACTCATCTCACCGTACTTGCCTCTGTCAGAATTGTTCATTAGTGAAGGGGCACGCGGCATCCTTAGTGAGGGCACCTTGCTGGGCTTTGGAGGTGGTTTGGGGTAGAGTTGACTATCAGACCCTCTCAGTGCTTCCCCTGCTTGAAATTCCAAAGTGGGGCTTCGGGCAAATGTTGGGCTGAGAGCAGGCTCACTGCCTGTTCGAAACACTTGGGGCTTGATGCATGCAGTTCCTTCCATTCCTTTATGCTGCTGTTGCGGAGGCTGGTGTGATAGCTGTAGTGGTTGCTGTTGTTGCTGTTGTTGGAGCGGAGGTTTCATTCCTGTGAGGAAATGACAGGAGTGGTGCAGCAGATTAGGATCCAATAACAGCTAATGTTAGCTCTAGCCCAGAGGAAGGCAACATGCCACTGAGTCAGACATTGCAAAGGCTACAAAGGGTGTGCTACAGTGTCATGTCTGCTGGGTTTTGGCTGAGATTTTCTATCCAGCCACACTGTAAGGTGGGCGTAAAAAAAAAAATCCATAGCAGTATTTCAAAGAAGAGAAGGGAACTATTCCCGATTTCTAGAGCAATATATATCCCCCAACATCACCGACAACAAAAAATCTGATGAACTGGTCACTGTCTTTTTGCATTTTTGTGGGATCTTGCTGTGCACAAAAACAACTACTTGTTTTACACTGCAACATCCTCTACATTTCAAAACCTATAAACGGTTTTGGGATGTCCTCAGGTTGTGAACAGTAATGTACAAATTCAGATTCTTCCTTCTGTGATATTTACAGAAATTTCCCATTTTATGTGAGAGATAGATTCCTGAAAACCACTCCTCAAAACAAAGCAGGTTTTCCCATTTAATTGTATGTAACATCAGGCGATGCATTCCCAATTTAAGATCCCAATACACCACATTAAAGTAAACAAAAGACAATGTAAAAATATCTTCTACAATTCCAATAAAGCAGCAAAGAACCTAAGCAAAGTGCTTCTTTCCCTGATTACTTTAAAATGAAGCTACAAAATACATCCTCACAATGTAGTCGGTTTATATTTGCAAGACTGATTTTCCCCACTGCATTTAATTTGTCTTATCCCTAAAAGTTACCAGTCAGTGCTGGGGAGACCAAAACCTAAACTGAAAGTTTGAGAGAATGGGGATCCAGCCAGCTGGTAAGTATGCAGACAGTTACAAAAGAAAATTTCACTCTGTTCCCAAAATACTTTTTAATGTGATAAGACTGTATAAGTGAATAAATAAGTAGCAATTTTTTAACTACTTAATAACAAAACTTCTCTATTTGAGACTACCTAAAAAGGGAGAATTGCTGCATTTAAAAATTACAGGCAAACAACTTGCGTTAAACATTTTGATTCTGTTACTGGTGTACAAGACAACAACTATAATATGATCATTAATTAGTGTTAATTACAGAAGGACAGCACGGACAGATTAATACACTAAGAAATGGATCAAATAATAAAACACCAAAGCTTTGCTTGTTACTTTTGATACAATATTATCAAAAATCACACAACACCAGGTTATAGTTTATTCAAAGGGTCAAGCTTTCGGAGTCTCACTCCTTCTTCAGGTGTCGTCGACTCCAAAGCTTATGTCTTCAAATAAACCTGTCGGACTATAACCTGGTATCGTGTGATTTTTGACCTTGTCTATTCCAGTCCAACACCAGCAACTCCATATCGTGGATACAATATTGAAGCAAGACACAAATATACAAGGCAACAGCGATCATTGAACAAGGTAAGAAACCTGGTAAATACAGCACAGGCAGTTTAAAATGAGGAACAAAAAAACTTCAATGTCTTTCTACCGTAAAATCTTTGAAGACTGGGACTGATTCAAACTCACCCAAAGGAAGGTAACTTTCCGACTGATGGGATTTCAAGGGTTGGCGTCTATCCTGCACATAGTCAAGACTTGCCGGCTGGCTCCCACTCTTGTCTTTATTCCTATGGTGACAGAAAAAAAGAAAAGCTTTTAAAAACCCGTATATCTGTCACCTGATGGTGCTTTAAACATTTGCCAAACTGATGCATAGAGATGCAAGTACTTTTCAGCAGAATCCTTCCTTTGCTCACATCTTAAGCACTTGGACAATGCCAAGTACAGGCACCTGAAGACAAAAGGGACTGCTAAACTACCTAGAAGAACATAAATATACTGAATCCCCATCTTATAGCTGAAGGAGTTCAACATAAGATGTAAAACAAATATCAGTCTGGAAAAAGAAATCATCAACTTAACCTGGTGTATATACTCACTTAAAACAGCTACAGGGACATTTACTGCCCAAGGTCAAAGATGGGAAAATGACGTCATTTTAAAATGTTACAGGGATACAATTTTTTTCAAGGACAATGGTCACACAGATAATGCTGAAAACTAACTGGAAAAGTCCAGAATCAATAATTAACATGGAGTAGTCTAGTTTTAACTGGGTTATACAGGGGATTATACAAGTGAGGTATGTATGAGTTTCATTGTACAAAAGTGAATCGGGAAGCTGATGGCAAAGAACTGTACAGGAAAAGTCTTGGCAATGAATACTTTCGCCTGTTCATTTAGCTTGAGGTAATAAATTCAAACTGATCAAGATCATGAAAACAGCACAAGCTGTCCTATTTCATTTCAATTTCATCAGCTTTATTTGTTACATTTTTTAATAGTCTTACATACAAAGGCACTAAACAGAGTTTGATGATCTTAAAAGCTTTTCACACTTTGCCAACTGATCCACTGACCTTAGCAAAAAAAAAAGTATAATTAATAAAATTGCTGGAAAAGAGAGACATGCCATTGAAGCTTTTCACCTGGCACTCCTCAGGACAGATGGTAGAGGGGAAGGGGTGCTGATTCTCATGCTGTAAAATTCCTTTTCCCATGCGGCATTAATTGTTGTTCCCTTTGGAATTTGGATCTCTCCTGAGGAATGCAAGGTGAAAAGCTTCGATAGAGTGTCTCTTTTCTCAGCAATACTCTGGTGGCTGTTAATAAATATTTCTCAGTTGGAAGGTCTGAGGCACAATCAGACTAAGGAGGAAGAAAAATGTTAAAGGACACAGAGAAAGAGTAGGGAAATATGACTAGAGTAGATAGCCTAACATTACTAGTTTCGTCCCATTGTGCTAGGAGCACCTCATTTCTACAATCATTGGATGGCTGGAAATGTTTGAATGGAAAAGGATCTGTTGTTAAAATCCATTAAAACCACTTCTACTCATTAGAATATGGAGCCGTAGTTTGGTTGCAGTTCCCCAACCCTTGGTCGCTTGTAATTCTCAGCAAGCCTTCTGCTGATTGTGTCGACGCATCTGAATTCCCCACTGCTGCTCCACCACCCCTCACAGTCTGCTGCTAAAGCTGGGACTGCACAGGAGGGAGAGCTGGTGGAGGTTGGGGCTGGGGGAATAACCAGTATGAAGTACTGTGTGCATGTGTATCCATTTAACCTTCACTTTATGAAGCCAACCACAACAAAATCCCAAACAGGAAACATTCAAACATTCAACCATCAAGACAGTTTCTTTAAATGGAAAGCTCGTTCCCTGGCTATGTTTAAAACAAAATAAGCACACAGGGTTATTTTTATAGTGGATTTCTAAGAGCTGCCTCTGTGCCAATTGCTCTTCTGGGAGTTTTAACCCTGAGCAAAAAGGTAGTGAGTGCTCCTTATCTAAGCCAACAGGAGATCTCTGCACATTATGCAATGCAGCTCTCAGCTAAAATTTTATGTGTTGCTGCTAGATAGGGAGACACCCCTAACTTGAATCTTAATTTTTTTTATTTATTCATAGGATCAAAGTGTCTCAGGCTGGGACAGTATTTATTGCCCATCCCTAATTGCCCAGAGGGCCGTTCAGAGTCAACCACATTGTTTTGGGTCTGGAGTCACATGTAAGCCAGACCAGGTAAGGATGGCTGTTTCCTTCCCTAAAGGGCATTAATGAACCAGATGGGATTTTTCTGACAATCAACAATGTCATTAGGTTGTCATTAGACTCCAGATTTTATCTTGAATTCAGATTCCACCATTTGTCATGGCACTATTCGAAACTAGGTGCCTGGAGCTGGTTGGATTAACACTCCAGAGAGAATACCACTAGGCCATCACCTCCCCCTAATCTGTTGCAATTAATGAATTATTTCCTTCCAGAAACCCACCTCAAAAGGTTTCCAGCTGACAGAATCCGCTCTTGACTGGGCCTGTTTGACACGTTCAAGCTCAGATGCTTTTCTGTATCCAGTTTTCCATCTGGCGCGCTGCAGACCTGTTGCCTTACGGGAGCAGCTGGCCCGTATTTCTCCTCCACGCACCTCAACGGCAAAGTCCGATTTATGGGTTGGAAAATGATCGCTCCAACCTGTTCGAAGATCGGTTTGCGGTTCCCCACGTAGCACCTGACCAGCGCGGGGATGCTGTCAAAGCTGTCCCGCTCAAACTGGTACTGCAGACGACTGTAGCCTTCATGTAACCTGACAACCACTCTGTTGATTTTGAAATGGTGAGGTGTGTTCTTCCACTGACAGGTCAACACCTGGTTGCCTGGGCTGGAGAGGGATTCACGGATGAGGAAGTCTCCATCTCTCTGAATTAGGGACTCTGCAACCTTCAAACAGAAACACCGTCAGCAGAACTCAGGAGCATGTTCAAGGAAATTTATACACAGCCCTGTCGAATATGATCTCTGTCTATCGTAACAGCATTGAGTATTCGAGAACCTGCTAGTTAGGTTAATATTTCGCGTGCAGCACCCAACCAAACCAGATACAATATCAGGAACAGGAGAAACTGTAGAGAGAAAGCAAAGTTAACATTTCAGATCTGGTGACTCTTCTTCAGTACTGACTTTAGCTAGGAAAAAAAGGTTGGTATAATGCTGAAGGTGTGATGGGGGAGCGGAGTAAACGAGAGGCGGAAATGGAGCCCGGTGAGACAGAACAACAGTTGGACAGACAATGGAATGGGTAAAGGTCGGCCCGGGAGAATCAATAGCTGCTAATGGGGACAAATAGCTGATGGATCAGCACCACCTTCACACTGATTCAGAGCACCTTGACCCCAGTTCCAGCTCAGCAAGAACCTGTTCTTTGTGCTGCCACGCTCCAGGGCAAATATATCCTTCCCTTGTACCAGTACACAAGAGATATACCCATCAATTCACTGTCAGTTCAAAACGATTGAGCAGCACTCACAAAAACAATCTTCACTTGTACATTTTAATCAGGGGACACCAGATTCCCAAACACTGGACCAAACTGCCTGGCTCACATTTTACAAGAATGCCCAGTCTCCTCCCGCGACCACTCTCTCTCCGACCAGCACCATCTGCAGAGGAAACAGTCTCACCAAATCAACCTGATTGAATCCTTACTCCACATTTTAATCGCATCTGCTACGTCTCCACTATTCCACAACATTAGACAGAAGGCCTTGCGGCGTTTTTACACGTTACACATGCAAGGTCTTGATGTTGATGTTGTCTCAGCTGAGGGCAGTTCTTTCAGCACCAGCTCAGCATCAACCTCAGGCACCTCCTGATCAGTGCAAATGAGAGACTGAACGGGTAAATCTCATCTCCGTGGTAATGGTAAACTGGATGTTATTGTACTGTCTGGTCAGGATGCTCTGTGCCTGACATTTCGTTCTACTGAGGTCAATAGAAGGAAGTGTCAGGCTGGGATTACAATGAGTACCCAATGTAACAAAGTCTGTACAGCCTCCTGACAAAGATCAATTTCATCCCAGCAACTTACCGAGTCTCCTTTCGATGGAAACTGCAATTTCCTCTCCAAGCCACTTGCCTCCTGACTTGGAAATTTATCACTGTACCTTCAGTGTCACTGGATCAAAATCCTGGAATTCCCTTCCTAAGGGCACTGTGGTTCTACCGACATACATGGACTGCAGCGGTTCAAGGAGGGAATCTACAACACCTTCTCAAGGACAGTAAATGTTGGCCAGTCAGCGACACTCACATCCAGTGAAAGAAATCATACGAGAACAAATGTGAAGGCTTCTAGCTTAAAAGATAAAAGGGCAATGTAGGTTTAATGTGATCATGTTTTTTTCATTTACAAACCAGCACACGGCATTGTGAAATTAGGGCTCTGGGGAGAATGATCTCATTGCTTGTATTGAAATAATCAGTGTTAAATGATACTATAAAGTCTAGACTGACTCAAAACCACATGGGATCTCTGGAGAGTCCCATGTAGGAAATATCGTCTCATTTCTGTGCTAAGTTCTAGCAGCACTGTTCCGACAATTCAAGTAAAGTGAACAACCACAGCTCAAAGGAAAATAAATGCCATGGTCCAGATTAAAACAAGCAACGCTTAGCAGCATACCTTCCTGGGAATTTGCCCATGGTACCAGGCATGACTTCGTAAGTCTTCACTGTTTAACTTCAGTTCTTCCTCCAGCTCCTTTTTCAGTTTCTCAGGTGTTGAGTCCATTATGTACCTTTCCTTGGAGAACTGAAAACAGAACAGCAGAAACAAAGAGTCTGTCAGAATCCCTCCAGCCAGTCCTCATTATGTTACCCACAGGTAACGGCTGCGCACTTCAATAAGATTCACTCATTGAGTCCACATGGGGTTCAAAGGCATGTTTGGCCCATGATTCCCATTTTCCAGCTGGTCTTTTTAATTTCAAATCAATAGCTGCAGGAGATGAATTACACTCAGTCACACCGTTCACGCCTAGCAGTTGGAAATATCCTCGCTTCAATCGAGCTAACACTGTCAGATCAGACACTATAATGGTTCTGCTCACCTACAGGAAAACGTGTACCCCCCAAGCTGCAAACACTGCTTTTTATTTGTGTTGTATTGATTTGATTATATTTAGTTACAAAAAGTTAATTTCTGTCACAGCATTATTTTATGTGCTAGGAAAAGCTCTGTACACAGCTCCCAAAAATCAGCCTCATAAAGGTTCCCTTTCTCCATGAGCAACCCTGATTCTGACAGTTGCCTGGAGATATAGCAACGGTGATATATATCCACCCTCTCACTTCCTTATCCTGTTGGACAAAGGTAAGTAGCAGAAAATAGATATGAAAGACAAAAAGACATTCAAACCCTCGAGCTAATTTTGAGTATGTGAATGAGTATATGTACAAACATCTGTGTTGATACCCATGTTTATTTCTGTGTGTGTGTGTGTGTGTGTGTGTGTGTGTCTGTGGTCTACTTTGCCATTGAGCATTGAGTGATTCCGATTCCTAATACAACTCGCTCTCCATTACTATCAGTTTAATGAGCTGATAATTCACTTATATTTAATTACTAGTTCATCAAAACACCAGAGTGGACCAATGTTTGCCTTGTTATTATTGTTTACTTGTCACTCCATCTCTGCTTTCATATTCATTAACATGGTGTGTTCATGAGTTATCTCATCTCTGTCACTGCTTCTGTCTCATCTTTTCATAAATGTATTACTTTTGCAAGAACAAAGTAAACTTTCTATCACTAATATTTTTCAAGTATTGTTTTCCTTACGGAAGGAACCAAAGTATTTCTGCACCTTTGATCTCATCCTGGGTGCATCTGATTTTATGCTTAACTCCTTGTAGCTTCATCAGTTTAAAAGGACCATAGATTGCCAAACACCGCAGATTCCATTCCTGCATCATCCTGTCATTATTTGTCCACACATCATCAATCAATGCACTTCAAAATATTTTTTCAAGTCCTTAAACATGGTGAGGATTTTCTGAAAGATGTGACAACATCCTAAAAGTGCGAACCTTTCCATCTTGATTGCAGTTCTGGAGTCAGAAACAGGCAAGTAAGTAAGTAGGTACCAGTTGGGTAGTGTGCCAAGTGCCAAGTGGGTTGGGTGCTAGGCCAGTGTTCCCTCTAACCTGTGCAGCCATGCAGCCGCTGGGAAGCTCTGTGTACATCGAATGGCTTCTGCTTATGAAGCTGGAAAAAAAAATTACAGTGGACATTGGTGCAAGCTTGGTATGGGGGGGGGCAGCGGTAGGGTACCATGTAGTTAGTATGCCAGGTTGTGAGGTGGCAAAGGAGCCAGGTAAGTAATGTAGTCTCGAGGGTGGGTGGGAGATATCGGCTCATGTGGATTTGGGGAGGGTGGGTATCATTTCGATGCGGGTGTCTGGGAGGATGGTGGAACGGGTTTATTGATGAGCTCAGACTGATCAGGCCCTAGGTGGGAGAAAGGCCTGGGCCAGGTCCCTGGTGAGTGGTGACAGATCAGTCCAGAGCAGAGAAACAGATGGCACAGGAGAAATGGGCAGTGGTTCTGGGGCAGGTGAAGGAGGGTAGTGGAGCAGGGCTCTGGGGCAGTGGCAAGTGGTGTGCAGGTCCCAGGAGAGAAATGGAGTCAGGTCAGGAGCAGGTGAAAGCGGTGGAGGTGGTCAGTGTTTGGGGGAGGTGGAACAGGTCGGGGAGTTGTGGGGTTGGGTGGGGGGGGGGGGCGCGGGGATGCGGCTGGTGGTGTACCTGGGTGCATGCACTAGGTAAGTATGGGATCTGCTGAGTAGTTACTCTGGAATTAAACCAAGGGCTGAACCTTAACTTTCTGGGAAAATGCAAGTCACGTTGAGTTTGAGTGAGTGATTCTTGTTGTATCTCACACAAACATGCCGCATTAATTGTTGTTTGAGCTCCCATGACGAAAATCACAGTAGATTTCAGGGGGAAGTCGGTGTCTTGCTGTGGGCAGGGACCTGGAGGGGCAGCATTGCTTTTCCATCAGGCAGGGAGCGTGACACCCAGGCCATACCAGCCTGCTCTGAGGTTCTTACCCGGGTTAGAGCAGCTGGAGGACACCCAGCACTGCAGGAAGGAGCTCAAGGTCCTTCTGCAGTCTATCGGGGGAAACATCAACATCATTCCATCATTCTGTTGGATACTCACACTCCCTCTACCTCAGCTACTATCCCCACCTCCCACCAAGGCCCATGCCCTACCACTCTTACTACTGCCTACACCATCTTCCTCACTCATTCTCACCCACTCGAGCATCTCAACTATGATTCTCAACTACTAGGCACCACTAATCCTCATATCCTCCTCACTACCTACTCACTCGCTCAGGAACCCCTCTCACCTGCACCAACGGTATTATCCATGCTGCCCACTTCCACCTCCCTCAATTCCTGCCTCTCCCTCCTTCAGGGGGAAAAGAGCATCAGGCTGAGCAGCAATTTACCGCGCAGGAAGTTCCATTTCTCAGACTTCCCTCTGAGTGTTCTACCACGGGGATTCCACAGGGTTCCCTATGCACAACTCCCATCTCTGCTGGAATAAGGACTTGTCTGGCCATTGGAAAATCCAGTTTTCCCAATCTCCACCATAACCCTCCCATACTCATCCATAAGGAAAACAATGCAGTCAGCAGTTTTTAACATGGGCTTTTCTCATAGAGTCATACAGCACAGAGACAGACACATTGGTCCAACTTGTCTGCGCCAATCAGACATCCCCATCTGACCTAGTCCCATTTGCCAGTGTTTGGCCCATCTCCCTCTCAACCTTTCCTATTCATGTACCCATCCAGTTGCCTTTTAAATGTTGTAAATGTACCAGCCTCCATCACTTCCATACACGCACCAGCCTCTGAGTGAAAAAGTTGCCCCTCAGCTTCTTTTCAAATCTTTCCCCTCTCACCTTAAACCTATGCCCTCTAGTTCTGGACTCCCCCACTCTAGGTAAAAGACCTTGGTTATTCACTCTATCCATGCCCCTCATTATTTATAAACCTCTATAAGGTCACCCCTCAAGGTCTGCTCAAGTGACACTAGGAGTTTGGGGAAAACCTTGGAACTTCCAGCCAATTCCCACTTACCCTGATTCCTTCCTCATCAAGGAAAAGCCAATGTCACAGGCAGACCCTCCTGTTTAATTGGTGGAATAAGCTCTCTGTCAGATTGTCAGGGAATATCCCAGAATGGGACATGGGATCTTCCAGCTGCTGTTGCCATCGAGCGATCAACCCTGCAGCAATGTTTTCAGTCAGGCTTGGTGACTCTACCCAAAATCTGAACGACAAGGTAGCCCTGGGATTATAGCTCCCACCGTGTGGTTACAAATCCCTTCTTGTCTTGGACTCAGTGGAGGCCTGACTCAAAACAGAACAGTTACTTTTAAAATATAACTGCATGGTTGATCCATTGTGAGGTGCACACTGAGCTCCAGAGAGAGCAAAATGGAAGGAAAATATTCTGTGTGATCCTTCCCATTTACATTAACTGTAAATTCAAATTTTTGAATGATGCTGCACAGAAAGAGGGCATTCTGTCCAATGTGGCTATCCTTTTTTGAAACTTTTTGTTTTATTTTTCTATCAATGGAGAGCTACTTTGTAACCATGCTCATCCCTAGGATGTCTTCCAGTGCCAATTCAAATATGTCAACCTTGCACTACAGTGCCCTCTGGTGGTACTCTAGAGAATGTACATGATGTAGTTATATACAGAAATCCCAGCAAAAGTGAAGTTCCTTCATTAGACAAGCTATTTTTATTCTCTAATGGAATGTGGGTGTTGCTGGTTAGACAGCATTTATTGCCCATCCTTACTTGGCCTTGAGGAGGTAGCATGGTGATGCCTTCATGCACTTCTGCAGTCCATGCGATGTAGGTACATCTATAATACTGCTGGCAAGGAAGGGAGTTCCACGATTTTGACGCAGCAACATTGAAGGAACAGCGACATATTTCCAAGTCAGGATGGAGTGGGATTTGGAAGGGAACCTGCAGATGGCGGTGTCTCCATGTACCTGCTGCCCTTATCCTTCTAGATAGATTTGGAAGGCAGTGCCTTAGATAATACACACTGCTGATACTATATGCTGGTAGTGGAAGAACTGAATATTTAAAGTGGTGGATGTGTTGCTAAACAAGTGAGCTGCCTTGACCTGGATAGTTTGAGTGTTGCTGAAGCCGGTTGCTGGCAAGTGAAGCAGGATTGCCACCACACTCCTGACTTGTGCCTTATGGACAGGTTTTGTGGAGTTTGGAGTTGAGTTATTCGCTGCAGAGTTCCCAGCCTCTAGCCTGCTCTTGTAGATACAGTACTTCCTGGTCCAGTTTAATTTCTGAGCTGCAGTGGCTCAAGAAGGATCCCCTCCACCACCACCTGGGTAACTATGGGCTGGGCAGTTATATATCACCTTGCCAGTGACACCCACATCCCAAGAATTAAAGGGAACTGATTTACAGATTAATTGCCACAGCCTGCCATCCCCCAAGTCAATCAATGTAAATTAGAACAGAATCTTGACAACAGTCTATTGAGTCGTTCTCTCCTTCAGTACAATAAAAAGGTATAACGTCTCTATTCTTATCAAACTATTACAAAATGTTTGTAGCACAGAAACAGGCCATTCAGTTCAACAGGTCCTTGCTGTGGTTTATACTAATACAATCCACCTCCCACCTCTCTTCATCTCAATATAACCTTCTTTTCCTTTCTCCCTGTATTTATCCAGCCTTCCTTTAAATG